GGGAGGGTTTGATGGGGCGCGAGGTGTATGCATGGGGTGTACATGCATGTTCACACGTTTGTGTGTGTGCACGTGTGTGTACACGTGTGCACACGTTATATTTGGGGTTTGGTGACTGTGGGTGTGTGGTGTGTTCGGTTTGGGGAGATTGTTGAGGGGATGAGGGGGAGGGCATGGGGTTTACATAGGGTGTACGTGGGTGTGCACACGTGTGTGCGCGTGTCACGGTGCACACACGGGCCCTTCCTTGGTGCTGCCGGGAGAGGTCAGCAGAGCTGCAGGCACAGGGGCAGGGGAAAGGGGAGTGTGGGGGATTGTGTGTGGCTGTGCAAGTGTGTGTGTTTGCATAGATGTGTGTGTGTGCACGTGTGTGTTTGCACAGGAGTGAGTGTATGCATGGGTGTACATGTGTGTGCACATACATGTGTGTGTGCACATGTGTGTTTGGATAGTCATGTGTGTGCACATATCAGCTCGTGTGTGCACATACATGTCAGCCTGCGTGTGTGTGCACAGGGTGACTGTATGTGTGTGTGTGCACATGTGTGTTTGCGCAGGGTCAGTGTGTGCATAGGTGCACATGTGTGTGTGTGTTTGCACAGATGTGTGTGTGTGTGCCAGCCCATGTGTGTGTACCCGTTGCTCTCACAGGTGTGGGGGGGTGTGTTCCCTTGCACAAGTGCGGGTGTGCACACATGTGCACAGCTGCCTGTGCACACACATGGGGTGCCATGGGGCGTCCGAGGGTGCCATTGTGTTCCATAGGGAGCCATAGGGAGCCATAGGATGCCATGGCCAAGGGAGCTGTGACCATAGGGTACCTGAGGGTCCCACAGGGAGCTGTGGCCATAGGGTGCCATAGGTTGCCATGGCTATAAGATGCCATTTCCATAGGGGGTGTGTCCATGAGCTCCGGTGTCTTTAAGCAGGGGTATCTGTAAGCCTGTCCATAATCCCCTTTGTCCATAAGCTGCTGTGTCTATAAGTGTCGGGGCCGAACGTACAGGGCTGTAGTGTGTCCTTACCGTGTCGGTACCTGTCCATCTCGCCTGTGGTGACAGCCATGTGGCCCACGCTGCTGCTGCTGGTGGCCCTGGGTGTGCTGGCCCTGGGGCGGGTGGCCCACAAGCTGCTGACCCCGTCCGGCAACCCCTTTGCCGGGCCACCCCTGGAGCCCCCCCGGCCGCTGGTGACGGACCAACGCGCCCGGGACAGGGTGCTGAAGCGGGGTGAGTGCTGAGTGTCCGTCGGGTATCCGTCTGTCCGTGTGTCCATCTGTCCCGTGGAATGCTGGGTGTGCTGCCCATTGTGTGCCCTCGTGTTGCCTCTTGCATGTGACAGCGTGGCCGAGCACACGCGTGTGCACAGGGTGCCCAGGGACGGCCACTGGCAGGGGCTGATCATGTGCACAGGGCTCAGTGCCCAGTGGGGATCGTGGGCAGAGGCTGAGCAGGTGTGTGTGCACAGGGTTCAGTGCCCAGTGGTGGCCACAGGCAGGGGCTTGTGCCCAGGGTTCAGCACCCGACAGGTGCCAAAGAGGCTGGATGTGGTTCCCGTGGGCAATGGTTGATCACGTGTGCAGGGCTTGGTGTCCTGTGGGTGCCAGAGTGGCTGGACATGGGCACTGCAGGGTCACTGTGGGGTCTGAGCACACCGTCAGGTGCACTGTGCCTGCACAAGGTTCAGGGTGTCTGGTGGTGATCACGGGCAGGGGCTGATCACACGTGTGTGCCCAGGGTTCAGCACCCAGCAGGTGCCAGAGAGGCTGAACATAGTGACCATGGGCAGTCATTAATCCCACACGTGTGTGCCCCGGTTCAGTGCCCAGTGGTGGCCATGGGCAGTGGTTAATCCCACACATGTATGCGGGGTTCATTGCCCAGCGAGTGCCGGAGCAGCTGGACATGGTGACCATGGGCAGTGGTTAATCACACACATGTGTGCAGGGTTCAGTGCCCTGTGATGGCCATGGACAGTGGTTAATCCCACACATGTGTGCAGGGTTCGGTGCCCAGTGGTTGCCATGGGCAGTGGTTAATCCCACACCTGTGCCCAGGGTTCAGCCCCCAGCGGGTGCCGGAGCAGCTGGACGCCGTGGTCATCG